GACTGACATAGCATTCTTTATAATCTGAACAAAATCTGTTGTTTTAAGGATTGTAGACCTATAGTTAGGAGCTAGTTGCTCCAAGGAACAAGTAACCCATGGTGGTCACTGTATATCCCCCTAGAATGACAGCCAGATGAGTTTTTGGATTTGGGGATTTTAATCTGTTATTGAGTGTGTGTTAGAACTTGATCCCTGCCTAGATCAAGTTCTGGACCTCCTAAGGATGGGAATTTGTCCCAGCTCTGATCATTGATTCTTAACTCAGTTACTTAGCCTCCAACTAGCCAATCTTTTAAAAGTGGTGGTTCTGGTCTGTTTTCCTGGATTTCAGCCAACATTATGGCCACTATAGTGATACTTATGAAATTTTAATTGCTTATTTGCCTTGGCTTCAGTCTAAAAACATCCCAGGATCACAAATGATGAATTAATTTACAAGGCAGACATGAGTAAGCTTTTAGCTGAAAACTGTGCAGTCACAGCTAGTGCAGCATCAGGATAGTACTGCACTATCCAGCATGCAATTTGTAGCAGTGTCATTGTAGAAAGGAGAAAAAAAAAGCATAAAAGAGAAACTACATTTATCAGCTTGAAAATACCTTGTAAACATGAAATCAAGTCAGAGATGCAGTTTTCAAACACAAATGTGTGAATGTACATCCATCTTTAAGCTATTAAATCATAGAGATTATAATGTCAGAATTATTGATTCTCAATGAGATCCAAGTATTGGTGTCATAAAAATCGTCCTGGATTAGTCTCTTGGCTGTGAAAGGGCTGGTTTGTAAAGCAGAGAATGGATCTGGAGCCCTCTTCTTCTGATTTCTGTACTTTGAGAGCCCTGATGCAGACTTTGGATAATAAACATTTTTTAAAAGGAAAATAAAGGTCACCAATAAACTTCTATTTTTAGTAGTCTCACTGTCTTTAGTTTCCTCAATTGCTTTTCCTCCAAGCAGCCTTTGCAAGGAAACTGGCTAAAAGTGAAATGTTTTTCAGCTGAGAAATCTCAGTGTTAAAAGAGGCCCCTGGACTCTGAAATCTGGTTCCAGACTGGGAAGCTTGGGAATTAAGAGGTTTGTTCCCCTCTAGTTCAATGCCCATTCAAGTGCCTACATATTTAATTGCTGCAGAGACTAGACATCCCTGTGGAATTCGCAAACAAGTTAAAGTTGCAGCTCTTATGTTCCCTGAAATAGCTCAGGCACAGCTTTATTCCCCAGAGATGTGTGTGCAGGAGGGTGCATGGGGAGAGTGCAAGCCAAAGATGTCTCAGTTAATGATAACCCTTCCTGAATATTGCCATGGCATTTTTAGATGCTTCTCAGCTCCCAGAGAGATACAGGAAGATATGACCCCAATTTAGCATCTCATCCAAAAAGCAGTAAGTAGTTCTGACAGTGCAGGTCTCCCTAAGATCTGTGTGGAAAAGTCAGACTTGGATGTGAGCCCAGCCTTAGCCTTGTGCTGAAACTCAAGTTTTTTGGGTCCTAGCATGACTTCAGGCAATCCATATTCTGACAAATAGCGACTGTGGGATTCAGAGCTAGTGACAAGGAAATTGTTCCTAAAATTACTGGTGGGGAAAATGGAAGGAGGGACAATTGCAATTATTTGCTGCTACCAAGATTGGCGAGACCTGTTCAGGGAACAAAAGCAGGCTTCGCTTCTTAATCCGGTCACTCTGACACATCCCAAGAGCTTTACATTGGAAGGAAAAGAATAAGAGGCTTGCTCTATGAATAGCTCCTGTATCAGAGTGTGGGAGAATGAGACCAGCTTTATGTAGTCTGACTTTATTGTACTTCACATGTGCCTGGAGCCCTCTATCAGCACTGCAGCCTTGTGGTGCTGTGCCAACAAGAGCAAACACAGCCCAGGATTACAGGGGTGACAGGGGTGACAGCCAGAGCTGTGAGGCAGGGACATACTGGTATGACAAACACATTTGCATGGCATCCACAGCCTCAGCCAGATTCATCCCCAGGCTCTGTGGCATTTGTGGCAGAGGTAAGGCATAAAAGTGTAGTTGATAGAAGACAAGATGGCACCTTGTGGGGAGGTTTTTACCATGATTTAGAGGGTAGGCTATAAGAAAACATAAAAGTGTCTCCAGGAGAAATGACAGAATCTGTTATCTTTAGTGAGGGAAGAAAGTTTTCTGTAGTGACAAGATATTAGATTTAAGAGCCAAGGAGAGACCAAGCAGTGAAGGGGCTTCGAGGTAAAGGCTTGAGCTTTTCTTCCAATCCCACAGAAATATTTATAGTGTCAAGACATGTGCTATCAAGATGAAAAAATGAAATCTCAGTAACAGTGCTTTGATGTTTCTTAGCTGGTGGGGATCTTGAAAAAAAAAATCCATTGTGTCTGACTTCATTATAGAAATGAAGCTATAAATTCTCTCTGCTTTCCTCATGAATGATCCCCAAGGGCAGCTGGGGAGTCAAGTTATTCCAGCTTTCATGCAAATGTCACTTTTCACACTCAGCCCATGGAACCTAATGAGCACCACTGCAACTTGGGCACACCACTGAAATCACCACTAAGGCTGTTGTGCTGTATAGTTCCAGTCCTTGGCTGTACTTCCAATTTTCAGGTGCCCTTGAGGTAGCATCTCTGTGACCTGTGCTTTGTGCATCAGGGATATGAGAGAAGGAAATTTTTTGTTTGGGTTAAAATGTTCTGTTAGGGTTGTGCCTGAGTGTCTTTAACATGAGAGCTGTTCCCACTCTGCAATTCCATGAACAGACTATGCAATGGGTTTTTATTGTGTTAAGCTTAGTTTTAAAAAAATAAACAATTCTGAATCAGAAAACCAGAAATTATCAAAATATGAAAATTGTCAAAATAATACTTTTCAAAATATTTTCCTAATAAAAATTTCAATACTTTCAAAAATTCAAAATTTGTCAATGTGCCCTGGCATCCAGGAAAGCCAACCTTGTCCTGGGGGCATCAGGCCCAGCATCACCAGCTGGGTGAGTGAGGGATTTTCCTGCTCTGCTCTGGGCTGATGCAGCCTCACCTCGAGTGCTGGGGGCAGCTTTGGGCACCACAATATAAGAGATTAAACAATTAGAGAGTGTCCAAAGGGTGCCACGAGGATGGTGAAGGTCTGGAGGGGGCATACAGGGAATGAGTGAGGGCACTGGGACTGTTCATCCTGGAGCAAAGGAGACTGAGGAGAGATCTCATTGAAGTTACAGCTTCTTTGTGAAGAGGAGGGACAGACACTGATCTCTGCTCTTTGGTGAGTGTCAGGATCTGAGGGAATGGCCTGAAGCTGAGTCAGGAGAGGTTTAGGTTGGATATTAGAAAAAGGTTTTTCACCCAGAGGGTGACTGGGCACTGGAACAGGCTCCCTGTGGAAATGGTCACCAGCCTGACCGAGTTCCAGAAGTGTTTGGACAATGCTTTCAGGCCCATGGTGTGGCTCTTGGGGATGGTCCTGTGCAGGCCCAGGAGTTCATCTTTGATGATCATTGTGGGTCCCTTTCAACTCAGGACATTCTATGATTCTGTGAAAAATACCCTGAAATAGAATGTCCACCTCCTATACAGAAGACTCCTTTCTTGATGAACTGATATATTCCACGTGAGAAAATCTTAGCTTCAGTGAAGAGAAAAACTGGTACTTAATGGAGTGCAGAGTGGAGAGAAGTGGATAAAGAGGAAATGTGTTTAAAACACTGAAATGGAAGTTGTTCCTTGAAAGATAAATAGATCTAAGACAAGGCTAAAGAAGAGACATTGCAATACTTGGAATGGGATACTTAGAGCAAGCAATTTAGCATCTGAACAGCAGAAATAGATTTTTGAAAGTTTATTTAGTGGAATTGGAGTCTGACTGCATGGGTCTAGAAGAAAGAATCAGTGATAACACCCAAGGTACCAGGACTTGGTGTTACTGTTGTGATAGAGAAAGGAGAGAATTCAGGAGAACAGCTTTACTGGGAATGATCAGGCTAACAAAAGGCATATATAGAGAGAGGGGGGAGTGTGTGTGTGTCTATATGAATGCCTATGTTATTTATCAGGAAGACAGGCCAAGGTGTGAGATTAGAGAGTGAGAGTGATCATGAATAAAGTTTTGCATTTGTAATTTATGTATAGGCAGATACTAAATCAGACCAAATGGTTATCTCTGCAATGCTAAATCTTGTTTTCCCAAAAGAGCAGACTCTTAAAAATAATTTCCCCTGCTTTCTGTTTTTGTGATCTGTAAGGATGGCAGTATTATAATTAATCCCCTTTTGACTCCGCTCATGGATGCTGTAACTTCATACAGCAACATAGTTACACACTGAACAAACTGAAATTTTAGCTTCTTACTTACTTGAATTAATGGGAGCAAACCATTCCTCTAGGGCTGTAGAGGAGAGACAGGTTATAGAGCATGCTGAAAAGAAAAATGTTAGCCAGCAATTCAGTCATAATTCTGAGAAACAGTTTCTGCTCATGGAAAAAAAAAAAAAAAAAAAAAAAAAGTGCTTGACCTTCCTGGGCACAGAATGCCCCCAGCTTTCACCATGAAATCATTGAAGATTGAGTCTCCTCTGAACCAGCTAAAGCAAACACCGTGCACAGCCCTTTTGAAGGTCTGTGCACGCTCCTCTGTGCTGTGCCTGCCCTCAGCTGGGCTCATTCTCTCTGAAACAAGCACAGCTAGTGTCTAATTTGTGATGGAAATGTGATTTTGGGGGGTGATGTAATCCCTGAACTTAGCTTTGATTTGATAAAATCACTTTTATCATCTGCATTCCACTGTAATGTTGTGTGCAGAACCAGTGCAGTCAGTGTTGTCCTGGAGTGCAGCTCACAGGGCACTGAAAGGGGGATAGAAGTGCAGGCTGGAAAAGAGGGGTTCTGAGTTTGGGCTCAAGAGTTTTAGTGGCTGCAGCTGCTCCTGGCAGCCCTGGGACTGGAATTACAGGAACACCTGGGAAAGCAGGCAGGAGTACTTATGACCCCTATAACTCAGAGCCATTCAAATGGCAGGCAGTGCACTGAACAGTTCCTGAGTGCAATCCCTGCTCTGTCCTCATTTCCCATAAAGCAGCTGTAGTTTGTCATGGGTATTCTCAGGCTCTAGGGAAGCAAGTTAGTTCAACCAGGCACCACATCCAGCTGCTCAGACTTCAGGAAAACCATTCAGCAGACTTCAAGAGAGATTAATCAAATGGCCTGGCTGTAAAAACCTTACCCAGAGTAGGTAAGTCACTGCTGGATCTTGCCTGTCAGAGCAGAAACATCCTTCCCCAGACCTGGGAGACACAGCCTGTGCCTCTTTAAATCTGCGCTGCGTGCTGCAGTGCTCTGCATTGTTGCCATGGCAGAAATCTCCCCATAGTAATAACCTCTTTCAGAGAAGGTTAAAAAGAGACAGTGCACATGCTCAGAAATGCTGCACTTGTTCTCTTAGCAGTTTGCAGCGGCCATTTCAAAGAAACCATCACAAAGACAAGAGAAAGACCAGGTACTGATATTTTTTCCTTTGTTAAAGGGGGTGACTTTTCTCTTTCATAGAAGTCCATGCACAGATCTGTCTCTGTTCCCAGTTGCATTGCAGAGAGAGACCACCCTTGAAGCCTGTCATGATTATTCCTTGCAAATTCCCATGCAATAACTGAGAGGCAGGAGTTATGTGTGATTAAAGATGATTGCTGCACTAGAGAAGCAGTTGTTCTGCAGTGGGGCTCACATACAAAGCTGAGCTGACTCTGGGGTGGGTGATGGGTAAGATACCCCAAAAAAGTTTAACAGCATGTCTGTTTTGTTTTGCTGAACCTTTGTAGTACTCATAGTCAACTATGAGAATAGCCTCTGCTCCTACTGACCAGGAGGCTTCTTCATCAGGTACTTCCAAAAGAGGCTGATGTTGTCCTGATTTACTATTACTTGGAGACACTCTGCTGCATCCTATTGCAAAGACTCGTATTTTTGATTCTGCTTATTTTGATTGCAGATCACCATTAATTAAAACAGAAAACCCAATCCACTTGTAGTGATTTTAGTCCCTTTATTTTAAGGATTGTAGAGATAAGAAAAAGGATCACGTCAGATCTAAATAGTGGGTGAGGTAGGAAACACAACGAGGGTATAGAAATGTATAGAAATTACATTACCCTATCTTTTTGTTGCCATGGGCTCAAGTATGTCTGTGACTCTGCTCCTACATGTTTGTGTTTTGCTTCTGAACCCTTCCTTACTCCTGTGTTTAGGTGGAGGTGCCCAGGAAGGGCTGTGTACAACGCTGCTCCTTCCCTGGGTGAACTGCTGGTTTGCACATGCTGCAAGTGTTCGTGCAGAATTTGCAGCTTCACTTTGGCTGTGTCTGAAAAGGTGGACTGCACATATTGAAGAGCAGTTTTGTTCTGTTCTGTGTTTGTGGCACAATGGGGAAAACCCTTCCCTCTCCTGCCTCCCTCTGCTGCCTTTCTAAATGTGAAATACAATCTGTTCTGGGGAGTGCTGTACTCTTGCATTCAGTACATGCAGATCTAATGCTCTTATGCAACATCTTTTGCTCAGTAAGCACCAACTTGAAAAACAGAAAGAGGCAGAATATTGTCCTGCTTTCCCACAGCTGAATGGATTTTTTTATGTGGATTTTATTGTAGTGCCATAACTTAGCCTTATTTAAGTATTTCTTTCTTCCATTTTGATGTACAGGAATGAAAGATAAACTTGGCTGAGTTAAGGACCTCTCTAGCAGTGTGTCAGAATCCTTGAGGCTTGGATTGAGATCTCTAACAAGCAATTGACACTTGAGCCAGTCCCTTTTGCTCTGAACAGTTTGTGTTGGGTCAAGAAAATACTTAATCTGAAATTTATAAAAAAACTTGCCTCTGTGTGAAGGGAAACTGTTGCTGGACCAGGTTGTACCAACCTCAGGGCATGGTGTGGCCTGGCTGTGGTGTTCAGGAACAAATGGATGGCTGCAAATAATGGCCTGAAACCCAGATTAGGAGGGGAAACAGAAGGTCAAAGAGTTTTGATGCATTTACCATTAGAAATTCTACCTATGAATTTGTGGAGGTTTAGCAGAAGTCTTTTCCTTCAAATACTTTCATAAAGGAGTTTTTATAATTAGCGTGCTGTCTAATGCTAGTGGCTATCTTTAATTATTATACTTGTGAAAAGATGATGCAGTAAAGCAAGCCAGAGGCCAAAGACCTTGTTTCCAGTTTCTGTTTCATCCAGCTCTGTAATCCCTGCAGTTTTGATCTCAAAGTCTAACAGTGATCCAGCTCTCCACAAATCTGTGACTGCGTAGTTAGAAAAAAGTCACAGACCAGGCAAAGCTGCTGGCATCCTGGCTTTGAAATGAAAGCAAGGACACTTTAGTGACTTCTTCTCTTGTGTAGGGATGTTCTCTCCCAGTTGAGTTTTATGTATGCTCTGGAAAGGTACAGAGAACTTTTCTCCATGCTCTAGACCTCCGGGTATTTTGCTTTCTTTCAGAGGAAGACTGACAATGCTTTAGCCATCAGGAACATTAACTACTTTGTAACAAAACCCTTGTGTACCTGTAGAGCCCCTCAGTAACTTGTTTATGTCTCTTGACAAGCAGGGAAGCAGCCATTCCCAAGATGCTGGCATCCTGCCTTCTGAGAAGAGCCGTCCTTACAGCTCCTTTAGTTTTTGTGGTTGCCCTGCTGGTGGTGGAGCCTGTTAGAGCTGACCAAGAAGCAGGAACAGCCATTCCAGCTGAAAGTAGGTACCACCCTGCAGCCCTTTCCTACAGCCCCTACTGCAGTTCTCATGTTACAGGACTCTGAAGGTTGCCCAAATAATTCAGACTATTTTGGATATGTCTTGCCTACATTGTTTTAAAACCACAACCTGATAACCTACCGGTGCTGTTTTGCTCCTGCATCCAAAGCTCTTCGCTCTCTTATCCTTGTCTCCTGCCTTGTAGCTGAAACCTGTCACTGTTCTGCACCTTTTCTTTTGTCCATTGTGTTAGCCCTTTCTGTGCCAGCAATCACCATGTTTGCTTTCCAGAGACATTACTGAGTCTTGTTCTTTTTCAAATGACATTGACTGTTCATTATATTTTGGTTTGGAGAATGATTGCTGTTTTAAAGTCATGAATTTTTATTTAAAAAAATCACAATGAAGATGCCAAGAAAGGATTTTGTCAACACCTAGTCTTGGAGCCTTCAACCACCTAATTCTCCTTTGCTGACCTGTGTTAGTTTATTTTACTTTATAAACATGACAGGTCCTTGCATCAAGTTGTTATGTGAAAAACTGCTGTCCTCTCCTTTTGTTCAGTGTAAATATAGTAACACTGAAGCTGGGTGATAGATGATGGAGCAGGTCTTTAATACTGTTTAATGTGGGGGTTTTATTTCTTTTCTTTTTTTTTTTTTAATTAGCCAGTAAAAGAATTTGGCAGGCTCCCTTTCTCCAGCAGGCAGAATTCCTGGTTGCTGGTTAGCACTCAGACCATGAGCTGGAAGCTCATTCTCCAGCATGTCAGAGGCATGTACAGTCCAACATCAAGTGCTTGCAAAATGGGCTTACAGACAAGACACAGACACAGCAGGATTTTCCAACATTAGTCTAGATTTCAACCTTTCATTCATATCAGACCCCAAAGAGCAAATGAAACCTGGTTCAGAATTTCTCACTTGTGCAGTATTTCTGGTGCAGTTGTCAGCCAGGCACAGGCACCGAGAGGCAAATGAGAGCAGATGCAGGGCCTGATGAGATAAAGATGTTTTGTCCTGTCTGTTTGCTCTGTCTCAGTACTGCTGTCTCTTAGGGCACAGATCTGCATTACATGGTGATCAAGGCAAAACAGACCTTGTGGTCTTCAGTCTGAGTGTCTTGATCTGGGAACGCTCTCTTAAACACCCCAGTAAATCCAGATTGCAGCACTTCTGCATATCAGCAATGCCCAGGGCATTTGTTTGGGCAAAGCTGTATTGTATTCAAAGTTTGAGGCTGAAATGGTCCATCTTTATGATACTGTAGTCAGTTTTATTCCATTAGTTTTCTATTTAGAGCTCACATTTGTTAGATTAGGAGATGAGATTTTTCTAGGGAACAGGTTCTTGTTTTCAGACATAATTTCTGAAAAATCTGAAAATAAGTTTGAAAATGTGTCCAGGGTTAGTGGAGCAAAATCAAAGGCTCAAGTTAAAGGTTTATTGTTTCCGTACAATGAGCTGTGGAAGGTAAAGTGGAACAGCAATATAGCAGGAATGAAAATATTAACGTAAATTTGAAGTAATTCCTTTATAATTGAGAGACTGAGTGGCCAATCATAGTGAATCAATTACAATAACCGGGGTTGCCCAGGAGTACTTATGTCAGTACTCACTTGGACTCTTTTCTTTAGCTCTTTCTGATACTTAAAATCACTGCTTAATCCTTCTAATTAATTCTTCATGCCATGTAGTCATGATTCTCTACTAAATGCTCTCCTAGGCCGCCCCTGTGTCGATTGCCATGCCTTTGAGTTCATGCAGAGAGCTCTGCAGGATTTAAAGAAGACAGCATATAATCTAGACACGAGGGTAAGGAAACATTAAATGTATTTTTCTTTTTTTTTTTTAATGTAAAAGAAAATTCTGTGGATAAAAGTAGATAAGGTGGATGGATTTTGCACACTTGGTGAACTGTACTGTCCTGTGTTCTAAGGGGAGGCTGGTTAATTACATTTCACCTCTCTATGCAGTAATCTGTGGAATTCTTCTGCTTTGGGGTATCAGGGACACTAGGAAGTCAAGGAAAGTGTGAACTGATTATCTTTCCCTTGCCAAATTATAACCATTAGTACTGCTCTTTTCACTCCAAATGCTGAGCACACACATTTGTTTTTATGTCAGGGGGAGTGAGGTGAGAGTAACATTTATATTTATTACCCAAAAGGAAAGAGCCAGCTCAAACAAAAAGCCTACTGAAATGAAATACTCCCCTGCACATGCTTTTATCCCTGGGGAGAAGCCAAGGGAAGAAACATCATCTGTAGAGACTTTTTACATTTCTCTGATTTCATAATGATGAAAAATGCCACAAAGTAGAAGAGCACAGGGAATGGGACTTGTTTGGCTTGCAGTCAGTGTGCAGAATCTGCCAGCTTTGGAACCTCCCTTCTGTGGGGGATGTTGAATCTGCCTCCTGCTGCTGCAGCCTGCAATCTGTGCCTACCTGTGTCCCAGCTGCTGTCAGATGGTGGTGTCCCAGGAGGGTGGCTTTGTCCCCACCTCCTGTGTCCCCTTTAGCTGAAGTGCTATAGATACACTCCTGCACAGATTGTTCAACAGAAGGCATTGAAACTTTTCTGCTTCTGTAATCTGTGGTCAAGGTTGTTCACAGCTCAGAGTGAACTATTGTCTTTGAGGAATGGTTTGAGGTTACTTCAAGCAGGGTCCTTGATGTTTAAGTGAAAAGACAAGTGCATGAACGGAGATGCCTTGAATTTTGACATACTACAAAAAAATAAACAAACATTCCAGCAGAACCAGATTGGTGTGTAGCACATTTTCAGCCAAACAAAATCTGTTCAATAATTACAGGTCAAATATATTTTGGGCTTCATGAAGAAATCTTGCTAATGAATCTGCTAAGCACTTTATACAGCCCAAACAAGATGTTCAGATTGTGCCATAAAGTGGTCCTAGCACGCCTCTTCCTTCTACAAACCTTTGAACTTTTCATCAGAATTTCTACATTTTGATGCAAAATCTCTTAATGTTTTCTCTGAGTGTCTGGCTATGGCAGTGACCTTTATGAAACCTTCAGCTTGCAGACCAAGTGAAAAACTTTATAATACACATATGTCCAAAGTAGAAGTAGCAATAAGAACCCCAAATATAGCAACTGTGTTTCAATACTTTAAAAAAAAATAAAAATAAAAGACAGCCAAAGAGATAAAATGAGGATAGAAAAAAAATCCAGTTGAGATGAATGTCCTATTATTGGCTTTCACACTTGTAGATTTGATAGCAAGCCTGAAAATGTGATATATTCCCATGAAAACAAACCTACCACTTCCTTATCACTTTAAAATCTAAATAATTGAATTCATATTGAAATCCTTCAGTTCTCCATGACTAGAATAGGCCTACTGCAGTCATTAAGCTAGGAATTCTGCCTACACCCTCAAAAGACATGGAAATATTTAATAGTTGAGGACTTCTTGGAACTGACTTCTAGGGAATTTTAATTCTTACTTTTATTATTCAGCTGTGGCACAATTTAATGCAAAAGGAGGGTTTTAGGATCACTGCTTTCAGCCACATATATATTTCACATCTGACTATTTTAGTCTGTTTTGCTGCTTTGTGGGGCAAATATTCCTGTCCCTGAAAATACAATTCCCTTTGTTAATATTCCCAGTGGAGATATTAATTTCCTTGAAAAACTCTCCTTTGTTTGCAGGCAAGATTGTTAGATGATGACTAAGCAGCTCCTAACTGTGTTGGAGGGGGAGGGATTCCCAAAAGCTTAGAGAGGAAAGTCTCATTTAATTCCTCCTGCACATCTCACCCTGCACTTCTGTACAGGGGAAGCCTGTATATCATTTTATTGCACAAGAATGTTGCTCAAGAGCTCCCACACTTCCTTTGGCCCTGGGTTGATCTATATGGTGTCTCAAAGCAAACTGACCCTAAGATAAGTCACAGACCCTTTTATGAAGGCCACAGACTGGATCTCCTCCTTCCTTTTCCAGTTCTAGCTGTGTTTGTGACCTGCACTGGTGTGATGATCCCTCACGAGTTGTCAGGCTGGCTGCATGGGAAGTGTCACAGACCACTTCTGACAGGCTGATTTCTACTCTTATCAGATATGTTTATCCCTCTCTGTACATTTTTTTGTTGCTGCTGGCCCCTCAGAGCAGGCTGGAGTAGCTGTTTTGGCAGTGAGAACTAACTCTGGGCAATATTTTGTGGAGAGCTCTGTGGTTCAGCACTCAGCCAAAATGCTGCATGTGATCATGAGCAGGGGAGGGGGGTCTTGTGCTGCTGGGAGGGAGCTGCTCCCACCACAACCACTGAGCCAGTTCACAGCCAGCTCCCTGTGGCATCTAAAAGCCCCTCAAGACATAGCCCAGCAGGGAGTCAGCTATAAAACAAACTGGAAAAGAAATCCAGTCCATGGGCTACACCGTTCACTCTGCGTCTTCACTTGTTTTCAGAACTCCAACCCATTTTTCAGAGTTAAACAGTGCACACTGCATCACAACTTTAAAGAGATCAGTAACTGCATTTTTATCTGGAACTTAACATCTCTTTTTGTAGGTTAAAAATCTGATTTCTTTTTTTGGTTTTTGCTTGGGTTTGTTGTTTTTTTTCCCCTAGGTCTGGTTTGGTTGGTTGGGTGTTGCTGGTTTGGTTTGGTTTTCTTTTTATAAAAACAGGTTTTAACCTACCAGGAAATAATAACAAATCTGTGTGCAAATAGTTTTGTGGTCATGCCCACAGAACAGTCAGCAAAGCTGTATTTACTGACATTCATTTTGTTCTTTATTGTTTTATAAACTGCCAGTGGTTATTTAGAAAATTTAAAGCACAGTAAGCTAGATGTGCTCCTGAAAATAAAAAAGAAAGGCTTGAAAAAGTTATTAAAGATATAGAAGATGGTATGCAGCCTTGGGGCTCAGCTCCAAAGATGTTGGCATGCTGTCAAGCTTCCTTATTCAAACCATTGTAAATGATGTCAGTGAGGTGGTGAGAAGGTGGTGATTGAGTGTCTTTTCAATGATTAGCAAAGTCTGATCAGATCTTTTCAGTTTTGCAGGGCAGCTGAAACAATCAAAAATTATACCTAATTTAATATAAAGCCACAGGGCTGTGTTTTTTCCTGAAATTTATCATCTAGGGAAAAAAGCCTGAGCAGCAGATGTCTTTTCCTGCACTAAGAAGGCAAGTGGAGAGCAGGATGCTTCAGCCCAGCTCTGCTCTAAGTGCCTTTAGATGTGGGTCAATGGATAACACAGCTTTTAAAACACAGCCTTTAATCACGTGGCAACTCCATCTCTTACAAAAATCCAAGTCAGGCAGATTAAGGATGGGTTTGGTTGGTATTTGGAGCTGGTAGTCTTCATAATGCCTTTTTTTTTATGTGTAGCTGGTTACACCAGTAGGGATTAATTTGGTGAGTGTTCTTCCCACAGCTATTGCAGTAAGGGGGGAGTTCTCACTTGGATCAGGCTGATTTTCAGGCACAGCTTCAGCTGACAAACTGAGGTGAAGATATGATGTTGATGTCAAACAGCTCTGCTGCATCATGCATGTACTGAAGCAACAAGTGTTCCAGACAGGCAGGAAAACCCAAATGTGCATTTGTGTGTGTGCAAGAGAGGAAGGATTCCCCAATTTCCTTATGTAGCCCTGCAGTTCCCCCTCCCTGGTCCTCAGCCCTTTCTCACACAGGTAGGCTGTGAGAGGATGCAGGCCTTTCTGATCATGCCCAGCTCCAGCTCTTGGAAGTTCCCAATCCACCCTCATTGCTTCAGAAACAGGGATGTGTGGGCAACAGACATCTCCTGATGTTGATGAACCTCTGCTCAACCCAGAGACCTCTGCTTTCACCAGTTTGGGACCCCTTTCCTTAAAGAAGCCAGGAATCCCATCATGTGTTGGAACTGTGATGGCTCCATGCCAGCTGGGCACCTCTCCTCTGTTTTAGGCTCCAAAACATATTGTCAGGAACTACTGAATCTTCCTATTAGTGAAACAGGAGAAGTTAAAGAAGTTAATTTCTTCAATGAGAGCGGGTTGAGGCTGTAATAGTCTAAATTTAAATTCTGAGTCTGTTTTTAAGTAAAATAAAATTTCTGCCATGATTTGGAAAGGGTGGGGAGGGCAGTTAAGCCTCAAATGAACTTCTGAGCTTATGCTCCAGTTTGTGCTATTGAAATAAGATTGTAAGAAAGCACTACTTCCTGGGACATGGACAAAGTTATTTTTCTGTGTTGGTATGCCAATTAATCTCACAAAAGGGAAGTAATTTTGCAGAGCAGTAAACAATAAGTCTGATTTTTTACCCCAAAATTCACTTCATACCACTGGTTCCAAATTGTAGAATAAAAAGAAAATTAACTTCTCTTTGGGAGCTAATTAGTTGCTGACACTTGTTTTTTGATGATGTTGTTCCTCCCTCTTACAGACAGAAACTCTGCTTCTTCAGGTGGAAAAGAGAAATCTGTGTGACTGTGTATCTGCCAATCTACTGAACTGAATCCTGGAGACACCTGAGGAGAGTCAGCGGTCCAGCGGTTTTTAAAATGCAGCTGTATAAAATACAGCTTTATGGAGCTCACATTGCAAGCATGTATGCCCCAATGTACCAGTGAGATTGGGGCCCTGTCTCTGATGTATTTGTCTGTTCTGTATCTTTTTTAAAAAGTACCCTCTTCTCCCATCTGCTGGATTGCCAGTGAAGGCTCAATTCACTAAAATCTGTTACTGGATATTAGGGTGGGGGGGGAAATGTACCTGCTTTGATTTTTAAATCAGAACTTGCCGAGTGTAACCCCCAAGATAATATTGGAGATCAGTGCCCTAGAGACATGTGCAGCTGGTTTTTGTCTCTAATATGAACGTATGTCTGTGGCAACTTACCCAGTTACATTGAGACATGACATTGTGGTCTCTGTAGGCTTTGCCTGTGTATTAAAAATGATGAAGTCCTTTCTGTTTGTTGTCTGTGCTGTGACCACCTTCAGGCATGTTGTAGTTCTGTCAGCTGTAATGGGGTGTGTGTCATGAGGAATTACAGGTCTGCTGGTTTTGGACCAAATCAGTTCATATCTCAGTGCTGAGCCTTCTGTTATCCTGCAGAAGAGTATTGTTTTCTTTAATTCAAATGTTTGGTTCCTTTCCCTCCTTACCTGGACACCCCATTCTTAACCCAGTGAATTTCTGAGTAGCTTTATTTTAGCAGGTCAAATGGATAGAGTAAAAAGGAGAATCAGGCTACAATTAGGAAACCTGGCCAGACCCAGCTGTACCAAATGCTGCCACCAGAAACTGCTCAGCATCACATTGAGGGGCATCTCCATGCAGTGCCAAGAAGTTTCTTTGTGAGACTGTGCCTTATTTTGCTTCAAGTGAAACACAATGATTAGGTCACACGTTTGGTCCATCCTGTGATGGACTGAACTCCAAATATTTTGGTTTTCCCCCATAGCTGCCTTTGAAAACTGTTCCCTCTGTTTCAGGCATGAAGAAAGACCTTTGTACCTGAAAGCTGAGATTGTTTCATCCTCACCTGTCCCCGTCTATTGTAAGATACTGTGTCCACTCACAAGTCTGAAATGGGCTGAGCTCTCTGAGTAGGTGCTTGGAGTTTGCCTGATGTGATTTAGAGCTGTCTCAAATAATTCCAACGTTGAGACTTGGCTTGTAAAGTGGATGGGACATCTCAAGGTAAACATCTCTTCAGCTGAATTTGGAAGAAAGTTCCTGCCTGTGGCCTTGCTTCTGAAAATAAATTGGTGTGACTTTGCTGGAAGTGGATAAGAGAAGAAACACAACCTCTGCCACTGCAGCTGTAGGTATGCTAACAACAGCTGTGGGAGCAGGGGAACACTCCAGGGAGCCTGAGTGGATTCCCAAACCTGTCCAGAGCTGGTAAAACCAATCCCTGTACATGGAGAAGCACAGCATGCCCTGCTGTGTGTGACCAGGACACAGGCCAGCACAGAAACCCAGTGTGAATGGGAGAAAGGATTCTGATGTTATTTTTCCAAAGTCCCTTAAGGAGCAGCTGTGCTGTGTGTTTCTCACAGAGTCCATTCACACAGCAGGGGAGAACTGGCACTGCTCATTTCGGGCTGCTTGGCAAAGTCAGTCAGTGCAAGCCTCGCCTGCAGCTCCATTCCCAGACAGTGGGAAGGGGCAGCAGTCCTTATCCATGGCAGAACACTCTCAGGATTTCTGGGAGAAAAGCCTCCTTTGGAGGGCTTCAGCTGTTTCTGGCTGCAGCACAATGGCTTCTCAGAGCTCCTTGGCTTTTGCTGCACTTGGCTTGTCCCCATCCTGTTTCTAGCTTGGCTTTGTTCCCCTGCTTTGCTCTGAACCTGTCTTTTCTCCGTTTCAACCTCCATTCCCCCTCCCATTCTGGCACTGCCCTCCTGTAGTCCCAGGGGTTTCTCAGTGCACTCCAGGCCCCTCAGTGACTGCCACCAGGCCCCTGGTGACCCTGTAGTCACTGCAGGGGTGCAGTGGTGGGGCTGATACTCCTCAGGTCAGCAGCCCCTTTAGTCCAGATGGCAGCACTGCCAGAGCAATGAGTGGCACTCCAATTTACCAAGGAGTGAGAGACTTATAGTGCTAATCAACATCAGCATTTCATTCCCAGAGAAGAGGAATTCACCTGTTCGGGGAAGACATTGTGTGGAAGTACCTCTTTTTACCTAAAAATGAACATTCTTATTGCAGGACTTGGAGGAAGTCCCAGAACAGCTCATTTTCAGATGAAAGCTCTGCTCCTGAAGCTGAATTATTCTGTGGTCTGTCCCCCAGGCTGGTGTAAGCTCACTGGCTTGTTACAGGTGTGGACAGGAACCCAGCCTTGTTTGCAAGAATGAAACACCTATAGACCTTCATGAATTTTTCCCTTGGTGATTGCACAGACACTGGCTTGAACAAGAGAAAATCTGACCATTTGGAATTCCTTCAGTTGTTTTGCTGCTATTTTATGATCCACCCTGTCAGAACTGGGGAAGTGAAACAGGACAGAACTGGGCTGTTGCCCCAAGAGAAAGGAGCCAGGATGGGGAGAGATGGGGAAAGAAATAGCTTTCTCATTCTCATCTTCAGAATCTGAAAAAAATAAGAATCCTTTCAGCCTGCAGAAGCTCTAATAGGACCAGGATTTTCCTAGCAGATTTTTGCTGCTCTTTTAAAGTCCACCTTACCGATTCCCTTTTCATTCAATTACTGTTCTGTGTTAACGCTTGTTCAAAACCTCCCAAATGACAGGAGCACAGCTAATATGCCACCAGCTCTGAAAAAGGATTGGCAGGGAGGTATAGGAACTGCACCCAGCAACTAGAATATCTGTTCTGGGCAAGTGAAAAGAAATTTTTGAAGAATTTGAATATGTAAAATCAGGTTTAGTGTGACAGAGTGACAAGACTCAAGACCATTTTCATAGAGAACAAAAATACAGCAGAACCATATAAAGTGCTGACAAAGGGGCTAGGAGAAACAGAAGCAATGTACAGACTGGGAACCTTCAGTCTAGACAAGAGATGGCTGAAGAGGATGACAGAAGTTTATGAAACCATAAGTGACCCTAGAACAGCTGTTTGCTGTCCCTTTCAAGCAGTGGGATGCATTAAACAAAACCTAATGGGTGCAGGGTCAGAGCAAACATGAGGATGATGCTCTTGACCTACAGTGTGTTCCAGGTGCTGGGAATCTCCAGCTGTGCCCCTACAAGATGTACATTTTTTCTCCTCAAAATCCAAAGGTTCCTCTTAAATCCAAACTGTTGTTACACACAAATATAATGGGGTCATCAGAACACTCATTCATCCTTCTCGCTGTCCACCTTGTCCTGTTTTATTCCCTGTTCTACATTATGTGGTGCCTCTTGCTGTTTGGGGCATAGAAGTTATGTCAAATGCACTGTCAGGTGGCCATCACACCTTTAGGTAATTGTCAGCTTCTTAAATAAAAATCACAGTTTAAAATATTTTGGCCTGTTGCTCCATTTTCAGGCATACCATTAATTTACATGGGTTTGCAGGTTAATGTCCATGTAGATATTCCTTAACCTTCCAACTCCATCTTGCTGCTCCAGCTGTGACTTTGTAGAGCTGAGGAGTGACAGAGATTATATTTTCAAGACCTCTAAACACCTGAAGCTTAAAAAGTGACTTAAAGCATAAGAAGAAGAGTTCCAGGCATGGGTGCCATGAAAAAGGAAATGCAAATATCTGCAGATATTCTATTTTTACATTGATCTGCCTACACTTTTCCTTCCTCACAGTCAGGGCTGTCATCATTTGATTCTTGCTCTGAACCATGAACTTTCTGAAAACCTGCTAACACATCAGCTTGTCTTCATTAGCCTTGAGCACCTTTTGCTGTTTAAATCAAAGTAAGTGACACTGCACTTTTCTGGTAATTCAAGTGACAAAACTATAGATTGTTCTCTTTGTCGAGACAGTCTGAAAATGGGGCAGGACTGGCAACCCTCCCATTATTCCTCATATTTTCACTTTTCTTTGTGAGTCCAGATCAGCTGGAAAGACTTCTGACTGCTGATGCAAGTTAGACCCTTCCACAGAGTAAGTAGGATGCAGATTTCAAGGGACAGCAATGTTCAATTATTTGTCTGGATGTGAATATTCTCTGAGTATGCATTAACAGCTGCACTTAATGTTCATGCTCAGACAAACAAAATGGTAGCCTCAGCCCCAAGCTACTTCTAATTCTTAGATGTTTTCTAAGAATTGATGCTTTTCTTTTAAAACTTTATTTTTATCCACTACTTTTATTTTATTCCTTAAGTCCATAAAGTATTTGGCTATGCAAAAGCAACACAGGCAGAAAAAGTAGGCAACAGAGAGAAAAGTGAAGGAGTCCCATCACTGGGATTTTTGTGCAGTTAGAGACCCATGTGAGTGCTTCTATTTAGCTTTAAGTGCTAAAAGTGTTTATAACATGACATTTTGATGTGTATAACGATATTCATCTATGAGAGTTTTCTACAAAATAGAAAGCGTAGGAGCTTTTCTTTATAAGAGAGTTTCATCTTGTCCAAATTAATGGAAAGAGGTGCTAACAGAAATACTTTTAATACTAAATCTGCACTAAGTTTTGTTAAGTTAATTTAGGCAACCAATGCTGACAAAATCTGTTGTTTTGTGCGGCTTCTGCACTGAACCAGATGAAACTTCCTTTACATAAATTCCAACAGCCTTTAAAATCCATAGGTTTTTGAGGTTGTATCTTGATCTTTTGACTGCAACCTATGAAGCTGACCATGCAGTTTCACCTGGCAACTTTTCAGTTTAATGTGGGGTCTGGGGAGGACACAAACTTCTGCACAAAGCCCAGAGTTACCAATGTTTGTGTCTGCTTAAAGTCCAGGCTTTCATGGAGGCCACCTGCAGTGCTTGTCTCTTAAAGTTCTGGGCATCATGGGCTATTTTTTTTCCTCGGTTAAAGAGCAGAACTTCATCCATGCACTAAATTTGTTACACAAGGCTTCTTGCCTAAGCAGCTCTTGCATTCATCCTGGACTATATATACACTGTACCACAGCATCCAGCCTGTGAACCGTGTCTGGTTTCAGCCAACAGCACTAAATATAACTAACGCACAATTTGGGCTTGCACTGAAGCAGGACCTGAACAATGTTTAAATGCCTTTTTACAGCTGGTATGCTGCACATTCGTTTTATATACAATTTTACACATGGAAGGTTGAACCACCTCCTGGAAGTCAATAGCTTTACTAAACCAGAACGAGATCTCCCCAGCTGCCCTTCCTGTAAGCACAGACAGGCTGTGCAGAGAGCTGCCTGTGTCTTTAGTCACTCTGGTTTTGGTAGTCATGGAATAACCTCCCCAAATGCCAGCACTTAAAGTATCAACCAACAGTTTCTTCCCAAACACAAAAATTCAGTAAAGGATTTTTACACACAAGCAAGGAAATGTCATGCCTATGTCTTCCTAGA